CCCCGCCCCGCCCCCCCCCCCTCCCCTCCCCTTGCAACAAGCACCTGTGGACGCCTTGCACTGATCTCTTCGTGTGTACATGTGCATCGGCACCGAACAGCCAACATCACATCAAACATGGCATGAACGACCTAAGCATGAGCAACCGACCCGCACGTACAGGATAAAGCGAATGCAAATTCACGGCACTAGATCAGGTTGGCAGACACGAGAATCGCACCCAGTCAGTTAGGGTAATGCACACGCAACGGACAGCCAGACAGCCAGACAGACAGATGGACAAATACATACGTGAGAGATAGAGAGAGATATGACATTCATTCAGCGTTGTTGTGGGTCGAGAGCCTTCATGGCCCGCTTGACATCTTCCTCGAGCACCACTCCCCAGCTCTCAGCCAGCTGCAAGCAAGGCCAAACACACAACCGGTCCAACCGCTCTCCACAACAAACCGTCCTCTTGGTTGCCGTACCTTGGTCGCTTCTGCCATGTATGTTTGCGTACCACCGTCCGACTGCTCACGAGCCTTGATGGCCAGCAGCACGGTGAACACCAACACGGCCTCCCGAACTAAGTGCTTGACACGCACACACACACACACACACATGTGAGAGAGGCCTCTCTCTCGGTTGTGATGGCCTGCGTACAGCCGAAGACGATGCAGTTGTCGGTTCCGTGGAGGACCTTGCTGATCACCTTCTTGGCGGCATCTGTCACCTTGCCCACACCTGTCACCTGATTGACCTCCACCAAATCACGCACCACCTGACGCATCCACAGACGAAGCACTTGCCGTATCTTCTGCACACATGTCGATGAATCGACCCCTACGTGGATGTCGTGCTGGTGGAGCTCGATAGACGTGTACGGTCCAACTGTTTCTTGAGGGTACAGCGAATGCACCTGACAGACACACCACACACATGGACAGACGATGGAGTGTGGTCGCTCGGTAAAGGGAAAGCTGCATGGCTGACCACATCGAGGGAGGTCGTGTCGACACACGTACAGTCATGCCGGCCGAGGTCCATGCTCGTCTGGAGGGGCTCCGACCGGTCAGGCAGTGAGGGGCTGCAGTGTGGCACACCACTGAAAGATGCATTGGCCCTGGTGTTCCCTTTCAGCTATGCCGATACCGGAAGAACTTGTTGAGCTCGGCATACGTGCGCTGCAGACAGACACACACGGATCAGAAGAGAACAGTCAGCACTGCGACAGACCCACCTGGCGCGCTTCTGCAGTTTTCATCTCCTGCTCTTCCTCCTGCAAACACCATCACCATGGCCAGCAGCAGCACAGCACCATGGTCCGCTCACCGACCGGCGACATTCCAGCATCGACCTCGGGTGGCGTCGACTCAGGCTGCACACGCACAATGAAGGAACACACATGCATGAGCAGGGCGCCTCGGATGAGCCGCGTATTCATCTCCTCACCTCGCTCGCATCCTCGGGAACCTGCTCGGGCTCTGCCGGAGATGCCTCCACCTGGTCACACAAAGCACAGACGCCGATGGAGAGGTGGCTGCCGCACCATTGGGCACTCACCTGTGTGTCGGGAGCGTCATCACTGGCCCCTTCTCCTACTAGCGGGACTGCAGCAGATGAGGAACATGTGATGCAGCCACCCATGTCCACCAGTTAAGACGCACGACACACCACAGCAGTTTTGCTCTGTTTCAAGTAAGAGATCTCAAGAAGGATCTTGATGGATCTGATTCATTACTTCCGCTTCTTTCGTCCATCGCTGTTGACGTCAAAGCCCTGGAGATCATGACACAGCAGCCGTTTGTCGTCAACATTGAGCAAGGCTCAGCAGAGGCGCCGAGCTGCAAGCTGCCAGTGCCCTTAGACAAGCTATCCCTGCAGCACATCCTCTCCGCGGTCAGCTGATGGCAGACGAGCAGCATCACATTCGTCTTCTGATTCGTCAATCGTTTGTCTGTGGTTGGTATTATGCAGAAGCCTGGGTCTGGTCGTGGCTGGCTGAGTGGCGCACAGCTGACGTACAAGGCCTTGGACAGGGGATCGGGCGGTGCGGTATTCGCCAAGGCCATCCATTGCGCAGATGAAGGGAAGAAGGCATCGGCGAGGGCGGTGCGCAACGCGCTCCTGCGGGCCGTAGACAAGGAGCCGTGCCCATACATCGCTCTGCAGCATTTGCACGCTAGTGCGACACAGCCTGGGTCGATATGGGTCAGAATGGAAAGAAGGGGAGGATCGATGTGGCGCTCTTATGTGTGTGTGCAGATTGTTGAGAAGTGGTCCACCGCCACGCTGCGTCAGTTGGTGGGCAAGACAGCCGTCAGCGAGGAGCTGCTGCGGTTCGTGGCTTGCGAAGCCCTCGCGGCCATTGAGCGCCTGCAAAAGCACAGGATTGTGCACGGCCGCGTCACTACCGCCGCCTTCCTGGTCGACGCAGATGGCCACCTGCAGCTGAGTGAGTGGCGATGAATGACACGGCAGACCACACTGATGGATGACGGTCACTCTCTCTGTGTGTGTCCTGTTCCTGCGTGTGGATGCAGGCGGCTGTGGTGAGGCGGAAATCTGCATGGACGGACAGCAGCTATCGAAAGAATCCCTAAGGGTACGATATCGCAGCCATGTGATCGATCGTTTCCCTCTGTGTGACGCCCTCCGTCAGGCCGACAGCCGTGCTGTGGGCGCCGTGTTGGCTGAGTTCGCCTTGGGCGAGCCCGTCGGCAGCGACATGAACCGAGCCGAGGTCAGACTGCCATCTGATGACTGCATGGATATGTGTGCTGATGGTGCTTTCTGGTTTTTCTGCCTGTCTGGTTCCAGGTTGCCGCGTTGCTGCGCGATGCCGTCGACCCCTCAGCGGACGGCTGTGAGGCTTCGAAGGTGGTTCAGAAGCTGCGGCAGAAGGGCTGCCCGCAGCCCTTCATCGACGTCATTGAGAGGTCGGCGACCCACCACTGAGCGGAGGGAGGCCATTCACCTGTGTGTGAGGATTGTGTGCTGGCCTCAGGTGCTTCAAGCTGCGACCCGCGCGGGAGATCCTGGGGTTGTCATTCTTCGCCAATCGCCCGACGCCAGACACCAGCCCACTGAAGTACGTATGTGTGTGTGTGTGTGTGTGTGGATGCATCGAATCGGCTCATTCGCTCCTCTGTGTATGGCTGTGTGTGGATGTAGAGAGGTTGTGTCGTTTGATGAATCGGGTGTGGCTGGTGACGCTGGTGCTGGTGCATCCACACTGTCCAGCCCGTCGCTGCCCGTGCTCAGCCCGCTCGACGTCGTTCACGGCATGATCTACACGCCAGTGGGCCAGACGTGCCTGGTCCTGGTCGATGCGAGGAGCGAGGAAGAGAAGAGCGCGGCACGCCTGCTGGTGGACTCTCATCCGCCTGCCTTGCAGTATTTCGAGAAGAAACTCGCGCAACCACATGTGGTAGGGGGAGGACTGGGGAGGACTGGGGACAATGGCCAATGCATTGACTGAATGCAGTTTGTGGACGAGCGGTTTGTGAACGAGGTTTCAGACTTCCTCCAGTGAGATTCCGGCAGAAACCGATCTCTGTGCAAGTGTGTATGTGTGTATGCTGCAGGCGTCAGGATGATGACCGTATGTCGCTGTGGGTATTCGTGTGCAACGGTGATGGCACTGGCAGAGACGGCGTCCTCCAAACAGTCAAGCACATACTGGCAAAACAGATAGAGGGTAAAAGCAGAGACGCAGGATGGACAGTGTCGATTGCACTTACCATCCTGTTCTGCCTGTGCGTGTTTGCTTGCAGGTGTATCAGAGGCGAACTTCGCCCTGCTGCACGGCGGCAGGGAGGGCCTCAACGCAGCGATAGCCGAGCTACTGACGAGCTGTCGCCTCTACTAACGGATGTTGACCGGTTGTACTGCTGTTTCATCGCTGACTGATCAGTCACAGCACGGATTCATGATCGTTCATGATTTGAGTGACTGATTCACGCTCTTTTCCGTCATACCGTGAGTTGAGCGTCCACCGTCACTCAGTGACGGTCACCCGTTGTGAACCGAGAGCTGCATGCACGGGAATGCTAGCTTTGACCCGACACAGCCCCCACTCAGCCCCCAGTCTTCGACATGCACTCCGTTCGCCGGATTTTGCCCGCCGCACGAGCCACCGGCTCCTTCAAGAGAACCACAATCGACTTGCTGCCCGCCACGGGCACCTTCAACGGCGAGCCATTCCCCCTCCACATCCATCAGCACTTCCACCACGGGTGTGGATGCGCCGGCTTCTTTTCCCCGCCAGCCGACCGCCCCCGCCTCGATGGAGGCAAATCCGTCAGCGGAGCCGCGGTAAGGTGGACACCGGATGCGACACGCGCTGTGACGCACGCACAGATGAGGCTGTCAAAGATGTCTGGATGTCATTGAGTTGTTCTCTCTCTGTTGCTGTTTGTTCTTGGAGTGCAGGTCTTCCAGGCGCAACAGCGCATCCGCCTCCAGCCCTCTCTCGCCAGCGCGGCCGCTTCGGCCACCACGCCGCCAACCAACGTCCGCGGCGAGATGAGGGCTTTGAAGAGGCTCGGGCCGGTGCGCGCGCACATCCAGATGGAGACCCTCGCCCTCGAGCGTGCCATGGCCCTGAACAGCCCCAGCATTGCGCCCGTCAAGCAGGTAAGTGGATTAACTGCACTTTTCTTCGTGCCTTGACTCATTTTACGGCTGGTGGGATGGATTTCAGAGCTTCTCCGTCCGACAGGACGGCTCCCCCCCCGGCAGCGACGTCTTCATGGAGATGGCGGTCTACCGCCAGAACTTGCGGCAGTATGCCGCCGCCAGAAGGACCATGTCGGGGAGGTCTCTTATTGACGAGCAGGAGGCTAAGGACCTCCTCTACCCGCTCGTCGTCTGCCTGAGGGACCTCCTCGACAAGTGCGGCCTCATCCACGGGTAAGAAGAGAAGAGAAATAGATGCTGCAGTCGGTGCCCTTCGCGTAGCCGACGGATTGTTATCCTACGCTGTTCGATTCGTAGCGATGTGAAGTCGGCCAATGTGATGGTCGATGGGGAGGATGAGGGGGCCGTTTTGAAGTTCATCGACTTCGGCAACGCTCACGTTGCTCATGTAAGTGGCTGGCTGCTATAGAGACCGCATGAGTCTGTTTTCACATGTGTCCCAGCACACTGTTCTTTCTGTCTTTGGCCAGGCCGACAAACGAGAGGCCCTCAACAGCAAGGGGGCACAAACGCTGATACAAGACGATATCAGGGGATTGGGGTACGTGACATACATACACAATACTTAGCATAAGGTCACCGTGTTGTGTGTGTTCGTTTGCTTGTTTCTTTGTGGCTTTTTGTGGCTCAGTCACTTGCTAGGGGAGCTGCTGTATGGGCCGCCACGGAGGAGGGGGTGTTGCACGCACTTTAATGTAAGCAGACAAACAGCTCTGCGTCTCTCAATGGTCGGTCCTTGTCTCGTCTGTCCTTTCTGTGTCATGTCCTTATCTGCTGCAGAGGCCACTCGCCAGCGCTGCCGCCTACGACCTGTACGACAAGATGATGCGCCGCCCCCATACACTAACTTACGAGGACATTCTGAGCCATCGATGGTAGCCACAGAGGCGAATTCTGATTATTCAGTGGCCGCACTTCCTGTCTGCCTTATGCGTATGGTTGGTCAGGTTTGCTCGGGAATTCGAGGGCTACTGGAAGCCGCCCCGCCAGCCGGCCGCCGACCAGGCCCCTCCGCCCCCTCCGGCGACACTGGAGGACCACCCGGCCGCCCAGCCATCATGGCTGGAGCGGCTGCGGGCCTGGTGACGGTGGCTGCTGAGCTGTTTGTCGTCGCCCTTCATGTGCTGCCGGCGATCCTGAGGTAATAGCATGGAGGCGGGCAAAACACACAAATGCACACGATGATGACGGTCACTCTTCCTTTCTTCCCCGCCCTCTGTCCTCTGCTCTCCATCCACCTCTTTCTTTGTGTATGTCAGTTTCGCTCTTGTGCCCACCCCAGCTGCTCACAATTTTGCTGACGCCTTCGCGAGTTTTTGTTTTTGCTCACTCTACTTCAAGGGCGAGGGGGTCAAGGGTCTTTCGTCTATCCGGGGGGAGAATTCGGCCCTGTTCGATCACAATATTCTCACGCTCACCTTTCCCAAGGCTCTCCGTCTGGACGAGTTGAAGCAGGTTCAGCGGACGGCCATCAGCAGGAGTCGTGGGAGCAGAACATCCAGCGGATCATCATCAAGCAGTTCGAGAGGCAAGAATGGCGGCCAAAGGTACACATAGGCCGATTGACAATGGGAGGACACTGTTGCTGACCGTTTGTTTTGGGTCTGTCAGAGGCGGAACTGTATCTCAAGTATAGCGAGGAGCTCAAAGACCGACTCCTCAGCAGCGACCTGACCACGTACTTCGACAGCATCTCAATGTCGCTGTTTGAAGACGCCAAGGCCCGCATCCCCACATGCGACCGATCCAACCACGGCTCCTTCGACAAGACCCTGTGCGGGCTCTTCTACTGGTAGACCTTCCCAAAAGACAACTGCAGACGGCGCCTGCTGTATGACCCCAACAACCCCAGCCCCTCGACGCCTTCGGGGTTCATGTCCATCACCCAGCTGCAGGCAGAGCCCACAGCTGCGGCGATAAAGCCGAAGCCCATCGTGTTTGACGACCTGAAGCCTCTTGCGGACATGTACCAGAGGGATCCCGTGCCCAAGAAGTTTGAGTACACTGACGCAGAGCTGGAGACATTCTTCCGGACAGAGGTGGTGCCCTTCATGGCGGCCATGCACAAGCTCGCCGATACGTACAACAACATTCTGGCTGGCGGAGAGCACGCGTGTCTCGTGGCGGAGTGCAAAGACGGGAAATACCTGTTTGAGAAGCTCATGAGCGCCAAGGCCGTCGAGGGGTTCTACCTCTTGCAGCCAGCTGCTGTATACGAATGGAGTAGGGAGGCGCTCAGACATAAGAGAGAGACATGCACATTGTCATGTCTCCTTGTCATGTCTATTTCATCTTGTGTCTTGTGTCTGTAGAGGTGACCCCCGAACTGGTTCTGTACCAGGATCGCTTGGCTCGGCAGCTCTACACTGAGGCCAAGGCCTACGCGGAAGACTTCCCCAAGAGGCCCTATTTGCCCAAGCGACCCCCCCAGGTCCCCGACCTCAACGCACTCACGGTCCCCAAGCAATTGGATGAGCTCGCCAAATATCTCCTCGTGAGCGGCTTGATGATGGCTGTAAAATCCGGTGTGCGCACGAAGGACATTCTCTGGTGTCTCTGTAATGATGTGCAGGATAAGCTGGTTAACAAGGTCGATGTCGTCGCATCAGAGTTGCAGGCCTTCTTCAAGACGGCCCTTCCCAAAACCCTGCAAATCCTGCCGGCTTCTACAACGAGGTCAGGGCTGCCTTCGAACCGGTGCACGAGAGGCTCAAGGGCACCGACTACGGCAAGGCATTCGACAACTTCGTCGCATACGAGGCTGCCAAAAGTAAGGCGGACGTCGAGACACCAACACAGAAGAGGCAGAAGCAAGTGAACTCTGCTGGTTGTCATTCAGTGACCCGCGAGTTCCGTCGCTACTTCGACACGGCAACCCTTGTCGACGAGGTGGTCCGCAGCAAGTATCTCAAGGAGGTGGCGGCTTCTATCGTCAAAGACGGCGAGCACCGGCTGCCGTCCATCGGTCGCTACGACAGGGACTCCGACAAGAAGCTCTACACTCTGTTCCAGGAGGCCTTCAAGACAGGCTCCGTCATCACGGCATCGGTGTCCGTGCCGGCAGACTGTCCCCTCAACGATCCACTCTGCACGAGTGTATCCCAATTGCCCACAGTCAGTTTCCAAGACGTCAAGCCGGCCTGGGCAACCACAGCCCCAGACGACTGGACCCACTTCCTGGACAAATTTGCTGTTCCCTTTTTTGAGACCCTGCGGCTAAGGGGAGACAAGTACTACAAGGACCCGAGTGAGGAGAAGAAGAAGGTGTTCAGGGACTATCTTCCGACACTGGCGGTAAGGTAAGATTGGTGGCACCGTTGCCCGCCCCTGCATCATCCCCTGATCTCACCTGGTCTGTCTCATCAGGTCGATAGCTACTACCTGCTGATCAACGTCGCGCGGCAGCACACTTCGCCTGAACCCGGGGAAACGCCCATCCGCCGGCGGCTGATGCTTCAGGCCACCCCCGAGCACCTGAGTGCGATGCAGGTGAGAGAGACACAGCTGCATGTGTGTGGGTGAGAGTTGTGTGTTCTGCAGAAAACCACTGCGGAGGGGGCGGACCTGTATATCACTCAAGTACAGCCCCCCGAAGTGGTCATCCCCCCAGCCGCCCTGCTCACGGAATCCGAGCAACTCATTGTCAAGATGAGCAAGGAGGCTGTCGAGGCGGCCAAACAGTACGGTGACGCCTTCGTCAAGCTGCCCTTGCTGCCGCCCCTGCTGCCCTGGGGCTACCTGCAGCCCGCCATCCCCAAGGCCCCAGCGGCCATGCCATTCATCCCCTCTTACAAGCCATATGGCGGGGCGGCTTTGGTCACAAAGGGGGAGTCGCTGGTGGTATTCCCCACTCTACGGCAGATGACGCCGCCCAGCGTTGGGTTGCCGGCGTATGGCGGGTCGAGTGAGGTGGTCAACATGGTGTTTGTCAGGGAGTATCGGGCCATCCTGTATTCGAGGGAGAGGGAGGTCGACCTGACCGGCGCTTTGCCAGAGACACTGACTAGAGAGCTGACGGTCTACGCCAACTCCTTCCTCAAGGCTGTCGCCGTCAAGGTACTTATACAGACGAACTCTCTGTGGCTGGCAGTTTCTTTCCATACTCTCTCTCGATGCCATTCCTCTTATATCGTCAGGTGTCTGCCAAGAGGCCTTCCTTCGACGTTGAGCAGTACAGCGCGTATGTCGATCTGGTCGCGATGTATGCTTACGGAGACCTCAGACAGGTAGGTGCAGAGAGACAGAGACCTCAGGTGGGAGGCACACAAAACACGCACACGCACCGCCAGCCTTGCACTCGGCAGTGCCCATCCCTGCAGCTTGACTGTTGGCGCCACGGGATGCAGCGACTGACGTCCATCATTTAGCAGCTGTCTCTGCTGTCTCGCACCTCTGTCACTGAGGTGAGGGAGGCCCGAGATAGGGACCGCAGCTCTATCCAATGATCTTATCTCCGTGTGTGGTCCATCCACTTTAGGTGACCCACAATGAGGCGTTAGCCGAGGCTTCCCAGATGGTATTCAGCACGCTAAGAAGGTGAAAGCCTATCAGCGCACACCTGTCTGCGATCGATCAATGAAGAATGATTCACGCACGCCACGCCACGCCGATGTGTGTGTCCTCTGAGGTCTGTTTCCTGTGTATGTGCTTCTGTTGTGTGCATTTTTCAACTCGTGTCTCGTGCAAAAGGCATGTGTATGTGCTGGTGTTGGCTCTTTGTATGCGCGTTGTCGTGCACTCGTTGTTCTTTTTCGTTGGTGTGTGCTCGCTGCACGGGTGGTGGTGGGCCGTGTGCAGGTAGTCGTGCACTTGTTATGTTTTGTGTGTTGTGTGTCGTGTGTCGTGATGCATGTGTGCGTGTGGTACCTGTTGGTGGTGGTAAGTGTGCTCGCCTGCACCTATGCACTGAGTCGTGGTTCTTTTTCGTTGCCGTGGTGGCGGGTTGGTTTTTGTGGTTGGTTGAATGCGTGATCGTCGGTGTCGTATGTGTTGGTTTTGTGTGCTCGCCTGCACTTACATATGTATGCGCGCGTAGTCGTGCGGCATCGTGTGCTCGCTGCACAAAGGGGGTATGTAGTGCGGGTTTTGTTGTGGTGCTTAGGGCCATGATGAATGAATGAGCAAGCTGGGGGGTCTGTCTAACGCAGAAAATGGGTTTACTGGTATAGCAAGCAACTGGCTGGCGACAGAGTGTTAGTGCGCTAGGGACCGACCCACTCACACACACAAGCTGCCTCGATTGTAGGTGTGCAGTGGATCGGTTAGGCTGACCGGGTGAGTGGGGGCGGGGATAAGGGGGAGGGCGGTCAACTGGCTCACCACACAGTGACTTCCGCCGCCAGATGCCACGGCACTGGCTGGCTGGGGTCTGGCTGGTTGGTTGACTGGCTCCCTGCCCACCCATTCTATAAACACATACATGCTGTTCGCGACCTCATTTTCTCTCCCCTGCATACCCTACGTACATGTCAGGCCTGGTCATCTGCCAGAGACACACAGAGGCACACAGGTCATCTGCACGCACTGACACGGGAGGCATTCCTCCGTTTTCATGTCTCTATGTGTTTTTGTGTGCAGCGGACCCAGATGGCAGTTCTCACAGTACGGACAGACAGCGGATGTGTATCGCCAGAAGTCGCACATGCCCTTTTTGGTGTGGTGTGGTGTGCCGTTGGTTGTGCGTACGATCATCTCAGCACATGGAGAGTTTCCGTTTCCACCGATGTCATCTTGTGACCAGGCCACTGACACTTGTACTGACAAAGGTATGTATATGCCTATGTACACACGACCCGCACACAATCTGACTAGTGTGCAGCTGATGTGTCAATGCTGCGTCTTGGTCCAGGACATTGTGTCCGTGAGGCAATGAAGGAAAAATGATCCAGCGAGAGACACAGAGACACACAAAGGTGATATATCACGACTTACAAGCTTTTCTTTCTCCCCTTCATAAGTAAGCCGTGCATGTGTATGCATGTACAGATGCGCCGAATGGAGTATCCCAGTGAATGTACGGAAGGAGAGCAGAGCAGCGTGAGTGTGAATGTCTTTCATGCTTCTGTGCCAATGCACAGGACACGCACGTCAAACTGCCACTTTCGCACACCACCTCCGCGAGCAAGCGAATGATGTTCCACGGAAGGTAGGCGCGTGATTTGATT